TCTCTCAACACACTCAAAACCAATTGCAAATGTCTAGCATGCTCCTCCTGAGTCCGTGAATAAACCAAGATGTCATCGATGAACACTACTACGAACTGGTCCAAGTATGGTCGGAACACACTGTTCATAAGCTCCATGAACACTGCCGGGGCATTAGTCAATCCGAAAGGCATGACTGAGAACTCATAATGCCCATAGCGTGTTCTAAAAGCAGTCTTCGGAATGTCTTCTCTCTTAACGGAAATCTGATGGTATCCAGAACGCAGATCGATCTTCGAGAATACTGTAGCCCCTCTGAGCTGGTCGAACAGGTCGTCGATGCGAGGCAACAGATAACGATTCTTCACTGTGGCTTTGTTCAACTGCCTGTAGTCGATGCAAAGTCTCATGGATCCATCTTTCTTCCGAACAAATAACACCGGTGCTCCCCATGGGGAAACGCTAGGTCGGATGAATCCCTTTTCTAGTAGCTCTTGCAACTGAGCCTTCAACTCCTTCATCTCGGCAGGTGCTATACGATACGGTGTAGCAGATATGGGTTCCGTACCCGGAATGAGATTGATCGAGAACTCTACCTCTCTCGGCGGAGGCAAAGCAGGTAGGTCTTTGGGAAAGACATCGGGGAAGTCGCAAACCGTACGAATGTCCGGCTGACGTGGCGATTCTTTTCGCATATCCTGAACGTGACACAGGAACATCTCGCACTTCTTGCGAATCAAGCGCCTCGCGCTCAAGGACGATATGAACTCGGGAGTCTTGGGGAACACCTCCCCGGAGAGTGATACGTCACTACCGTCCTCGGCTCTCAGCCGTACGGTCCGACAACTGCAGTCGACCACTGCTCTATGCTCTGTGAGCCAATCCATACCAAGGATAATGTCAAACTCCTTGTTTGGTAGCTCTATCAAATCTGCAGGGAATTGCTTCCCTTGCACGGACAACGGACACCTATGATAGATGTGATGAAGACGCATGCTATGTCCTAGCGGATTCGATACAACGGTAGGTATCTCAAGGTCACTCCTCACAATCGCAGAATTAGCAGGCATGCCAACACAGATATAGGAGAGCGTAGAACCCGGATCGATCAAGGCATGCATAACCGAATCAAATAGTATGAACGTACCCAAGATAACATCAGGACTAGGATCTGTGCGCCCATGCATGGCGTAGGTACGCGCTGGTGCCCGGCCTGGCTGCTGCGGACGTGCTCTCTGTTGATTATTTGCGGCCGTAGACTGCTGACTCCGTGTTGGATGTGATCCGGCAGGCTGATCCGGAGCTCTAGGTAAAACAGGCTCGCTGCTAGGGTTTGTCGGGCAATGCCTCCTGAAATACCCTGGCTGACCACAACCCAAACATAAGCCTTGGGCGAGCCAACACTCGCCCGGGTGATGCCTACCACACTGTACACACTGCGGGTGGCTCCTCGTTCTCGTCGAGTTGCTATTGGCGGCCGACGGAGACGGCCTCGACTTACTCCTCTTAGGCGGCGGCGCACTCGAAGAACCCTTCTCGTACCTCTTTCCCCCGAATCCAAAACTCTTCCCGCTCGGCCCAGTGCTGGCCGCGAGTCGCGGGTCTTTCGTCGCTCGATCCTCCTTCTTGGTTGCCTGCAAATCGTCCAAGCTCTTTTCCGTCTTCACAATCAAATCATACGCCGCATTAAAATCTGTCGTCGTGATCAGCGCAGCGTACGGCCTCAAGTCCGGCCGTAGCTTCTTGACGAACTCATTCAAACGATCCTCCGGAGTGGAGACCAGACTCATCGCATACTGGGACAGGTAGTCGAACCTCTGTCTCAGTTCAGGCAGTGACATCCCCTCCTGCTTAAGCGCAACGAATTCATCGCGCCTCTCCTCGCGGTACCGGGTGGGGACGTACTCCTTCGTGAAGGCTCGATCGAAGCGATCCCAGGTCCACGGCTTGGGCGTGTGTGGATCCTGGTCAATGCGCTTCCACCAATCATATGCTCCCTTCCGGAACATCTGTGACGCCAACTCCGAGCGATCAGCATCTGGGACTCTCAAATTCTTGAGTACCCGGTCCATCTGCTCAAGCCAATCCAATGCAATCTGGGGCTCCCCCATCTTCTCTCCTCGAAACTCTTCCGCTCCATTATCCTTCAACATCTTGAAGGTAACGATGCGCGGCTGCGGCTGTGGTGGTGGCGGTGGCTGGAACATGGGCATAAGCTGCGCCATGTGCTGCATATAATGGGCCATCATGGCCGGAAAGATCTGCTCGTAGGCCACCGGCGGCATCAGCAACGGTGGCATCACTGGAGGTGGTACGACTGGCGGTGGTACAGCTGGTGGCTGTCTCGCTGGCGCAGGTTGATTCTATCGTTGCCCTCCGTCACCCGGAGGCGTGAAACTCGAACCCTCGGTGTTCACCGTGTGCACGCTCACGTGCTCCGGCTCCGGAACGTACTGACCATGGGTCGATTCTTGACTCATTCTAAAATAATAAGGAAATTCCCACGTCAGATCTTAACATATAACAGATAAAGCTATAAATACTTATTACCTTCCTGGGGCAGAGGAGTTACGTGAGATGCAGATGCGGCTGAATTATTCATTGTATTTTATTTTGAAAGGGTCCAAAGACCGATTTTAAAACCAAATGCTCCGATACCAAAATGTAACACCCCAACCCGCATGACCCAAACCCGTGAGACAGCGGACCGGTGTGCCACTGAATTGGTATCCGAATTTGCGACATTTTCAAAACAATTTTAAACAAACGTTCTATCAATACATATAAAAATTCATCGGAGTAAATTAAAATAATGCGGAAGCCTTTTTAAAGTCAAACAACTTGGGATCTTGCCCGAAAACGTAATAAGCATTAAAGTTAATTAAATAAAGCATAATCAACAGATTAAAGAGACAGCCACGCCATCGTACATCTCCTCCTCAATGCCCTCTGGGATCGGCTCTAGGTTCATCTGTCTGATCACCTACGGACAGCAAAA